GGTGTGCATTATACCAAACTGCATAGCTTCAGGTGGCGGAGTCTAGACAAGGACACTGGTTTCCAGTGGAAACGCTCACCACACACACTCACAGTAGAAACAGTCGGGCTGAAAAAGTGCTGTTTATAGTTAGGGTTTAGCATATGACCAATGTCAGGTGCTATTTTATCTCCTTGCGTCTGTCAGATATGATGTCATTTATGTTTTTATTATTTATTTATATATCATGACTATTTCCTCTTCACTTCATGAGCTATTTTCACATTCTTCCCCTTCTGTTCAGCACTTTATTTTGCAGACTTTCTTTCTGCTTTGGCAGGAGGACTATTGAAAATAATCCTGAATGTGTTGAAAACGTAAAAAGACTAACTTACTTTGTGATACAGACCCCTGATGCCTCTCCACCTGCACAGCTGCTCTGTAGCTGAGAGCGCCTTCCATCAGCCAGCCTGCTTTCTATCTAATTGATGAGCTTCAGACACACAAACACAAAGCACACAAACTCACACACAGATACCTCTGCTTCTTCTTGCAAAGTGCATCTAAAATAAGTGTTTGTAAGCCAGTGAATCAGAGGACACAGAGACGAGGAAAACTGCACTTTCCACCCTTGAATTTTATATTTAGACTTTATTTCAAGCTTTCACCGCCGCAGAATCACCATGGTGACACTTTGCACATCATTTACTTTAAATCACGTTTGTTCATTGCTCAGCGTCTTTGTTAAGAAAGCTTTATTGCCGAGAACTTGGAGCGTAACTGTCACAAAAACTCCCATAACCCTTCTCTTGTGTGCCAATAGATTTAGTCATTGTCACACTTATTTGGTCTCTCCACTCACCAAACTGTGTTACTGAAGCTGGGCCTTGGCGGATTTCATGTTATTTTAGGGAAGGTTTTTAGTTTAGCGCGCCTGAGAATGAAATCAATGAGAGCGGGGGGAGATGGAGGGGAGGGAAGAGAGCGAGAGAAGTACACAACAGAGAGACTAACATAAACCAGATGTCCTCGATCCAATTCTGGAGTCGTCAAATGTCATATTACCTCATGGATTTAGACAAACACACACAGAGGGGGGGGGGGAGGGAAGAATAACCCTCTGTGTGTAATATCACTTATTGTTTGGAGATGATGCTATTTAAGGGCTATCAGATGGCCAACACTGTGTGCTAGGAACTGGCTAATGGTGACCTCAGTGCTGTGAGAGGCTCTTGGACGTCTTGCGCAACTTGGAATGATCTCATCTCTATTCTGCCTCTGGTTCTCTGTACATTTCAAATCACTTGCGTCTTTTACCTCAACGCTTATATGCTGTTCACCCTCTATATCTTTTTCCTTTTGGTGGTGTCTTGTTTTTAGTTGAAACTTGTGCTGTGAGATAACCACTGTTGTGAATTTCTATCTGTTAAATTAACCTGTTCGTTCTCTGCTATTGTTTGATTGTCAGAGCGCTTTGTGAACTGTTATTTGAAGAAGGTTTGTGATTTTAGTTTGCCTTTCTCTGCTTTTGTGTCTTTGTTCCTGTGTTTGCTAGACAGAGAAGTGGTTTGGTGCTTTGCTTATTGCCTCACATCATTGCTCCGTCACTTCTCTGACAGCTGCCTCTGTGCGCTAATGTGTACTTGTGAATGTTCCTGGTTTGGAAAAGCTCTACTTATGCTCCTTGACTCTCTGCCAGGGTGTGTTACTTTAACCATGTATTGCTCAGCTTTAACGCATGGCAGCTAGTGACGGGAGAAGGTACTTTGTTCAAACAGAATGTAAATAGACATGAAGGGTTCAGCTGGATCGTTAAGCATCCTTGTTGCAATGGAGGTGAACGAAGGCCCCACCTCTGCTGTGTTTGATTATGATGCAAGTTATATTTAGCCGCTCCTCGGCAGTAGCTTCTTCTGCTTGATTAAAGCTAGAAGATTTATCTGGTGACTTTGGTGCTTGCTGGCTGACTGACACAGTGAATGACAGGCTGCCTGCTTGGTTGTTTGTAAGATGTGATAACGGAAACTCACTCTGCATTTGTGGGTTGTGCATGTTGTGTATATGACAAACAACACATCTTTAGGCAGCAATTTTAGTAAAGGAACTCACCACATTGTGATTTATGGAAAGACAGAGGAGACAAAAGTAGTAAATGTACAGCTATGCAGTGCACCTGTGGTAAAGGAGAGCAGCACTGCAACGCTAGCAGACTGCGGCGGGCAAACCGCATACAGAAAGTAGTGGTGTGTTTCACCAAGGCTTATTGTGCCCATTGAATACTTAGTCAACTTCAAAGACCTTCAAGCTTCAGCTATAGCTAGCTAAAGACTTATTTACTGTAGCTCACATTTTGTGAGATAATTAATCACTTGATTATTATTCTCAAAAAGAATCACTACATTCAAAAGTAAGCACATTATACAGGCAATGTTATGTTGCTATGCAGTCACAGTTAAAGCTCTCAATCTCCTCCGTGGCTGCTGAGCTGAAAGCTAACAGCTTTGTTCGCTATCGTTACGTCATATAATTGTTTTTTTAAATACTGACAGGACAAGCTGCTGGGACACTTCTGATTTAAGGGGGTCATTCTTGCAAGGCTCAAAACCCCTCTTCTCTAGACTGTGACTCAAGCAATGGATTGAAACTTGTGTTTGCTAGATTTCCATCTAACTGGTGATGTTTTTAGTTGTAGTACTCTGGCGTGTCATCACCTCTCTTTTATCTCTCGCTCTTCCCTGATGCACGCTGCTGAAGGAGCGAGCCAGAGTGTGTCAGTGAAATATGTTTTTCACGCTAAACTCGGAGCAGCACAGAAAGGCGGAGGGGGGGGGGGGGGAGTTCACCAGTAGAGTATCTATTTACTGCAGCAGCTTCTTGGCGCAAATAAACTGAATCTACGATGAACAAGATGTAGCAGCCTCTGCTCCACCACCCTCCCACCCAGAAGCCTGACCCGGTGCAGGAGCCGCTGATTAGCTGCATACACACACCCACCCCTTGAAACACCACCCACAAACTCATTACATCAGTGTGGTGTTTGCCTCTAAGCTTTTATCTATTCACCGCACAGCCTACCGTAATGCATTATTTATATTCCGGCTATAAAGGTCAGTGGCGATGACGTTAACGTCTCTGAAGGGGGATATCAAAAAGGTGATTATACGGAAGGGAAGCCTGCGTGCAAGCCATGAATGTTAATCCTTCAGTGATACTGGCTTCCTGGGATATTGAAAGCAATGTCAAAAAGATATGAGAGAGACTCCCTCCCCCACTGCTCTTTGTGGTTTCTGTTGTTATGGGGCAACAGATTACCAAGCCAAAGTTGATGGCTGATGGTCATCCCTGACCACAGAGTGATGGGCAGTCTCCAGCTGTCAGTCCACGAATTACAAAGACGGGGCTGAGGCTGTACCACAGACTGTAGAACAAGACTATAGTCGAGCTAGCAGCTCCATGACGCTGCTAACATGCTCACAATGACCCTGCAACCTGTTTAGCAGGTATAATGTTTACCATAAGTCTTTACATAACATGTTAGCATGCTAACATTTGCTAATTACCACTAAATACATAGTATAGCTTTGTTTTGGGAGGGGGTCTGCAGCCATTAGAGCAACTTCACCTTCTGACATATCTTCATTAGCGTAACCACATAGCCAGACTGCTTAGGTTTCTTCTCTTGTCCTGTTCTGTGTTGCTCTGTTCTATCCTACCCGTGTGTTTGTATGTGTCCTTGTTATTTCATAAGAGGAAACAGATGAGAAAAGTTCCCACTTTTAGATGACAGCCAAGCGAAAGAAAACAGTTAGTCATCAAGCAGATGCCATCACCTTTCCTTTACAAAAACATCTTTAAAGTGCCATGTCATCTGTTTGTCTGTCTATTGAGCTGGACAGGAAATTGACACCATCGAGCAGCCAAATGACCCTGTGTCTTGGCCAGGGGATGGCAGTTTTGCTTATGTACAAACCACTTTGGCAGGCAGCCAAATTCAAAAGAGAGGTAGTGAGCTGTGATGATGCTGGAAAGGGCAAGTGAAGTTTGGATGATTTTCTTTTTCTTCTCCCCCAATCGATGAGACAAAGCTGTTCAGTCCAAACAAAGTGTGGGATGACTCACGTTAACCATTCAGCTCAGAGCTCCCTGTGGCTGCTCCGTCTCATTGCATTATCCCTGCTATATTTAGGAATGATCGAAATTGACCGTTCTCTGGTTTTGAGATGCATTTTTGACAGACGATAGCTGTCCGTATTAACGTCGCTGACAAATACAATGTGTTACCTGTGACTGTTTCACAATAAACCCCATGTATGGACAGCCCAGTTCAATAATTTTTTGTATTAGTTGCCATTTAATACAGCCCTGATGGCACTAGTGATTAGATAAAATGACTGTAATACTGAATTTTGTGCAGACTGCGCCACTAACAGTGGAAACTACCATATAGAGAAGTAATTACAGAATGTAAATACCATAACATGTATCAAAATCGAGATTGGATTTAATTAAAAGTTTTAAGGGTTCTAACTTTAATTAGTTGACTAGGAAAGCCTGTTTAGTCAAACGGTGAATTAGACATCTTGTGAACATGATCAGGGCTGGAATGATAAATGTGTGACACAGCTGCAGTGGCAGCAGTTCAGTCCTGCGCATTTTCATCTGTTTGTTTTTTTTATTTTTTTTTGCATCCTGTTGGCTCACAGTGGTCCCTAACTCTAACCGTAAAGCTCACAACTGCAGAGATTCTCTATAAGTCACCTATAAAATATAGAAAGCCCCCCAACACACACAGAAACACACAGATTATTTTCCTCCCTACTCCAACCTCTGAAGGGAAAGGCTTTGTGAACTGCAGAGTAGAAATGTGTGTTTCTGAAATGTTAAAGGTTTGCGTCTCCATCATCTCCAGTGTGAGGATGATGCATCATGTTAAAGCTACAGACAGACTGAAGAATTTTGGAGCACGCTGACTTGACCCTTATTGATTTTCTCTCTCACTCTCTCTCTCTCTCTTCCTCCAGACCTCCTAAATGGAGCCCAGGAGAAGTGTGAGCTGCCGTCTTTGGATGGTTTCCCTCACTGCGAGGGCAAGCTCAAGGTGAATCACTCATACGAACACACAAAAAGGCAGCCTCTCTTGGCCTCACCCTCTGTGTCTCTTTCACACATTTTAATATCTGTGTATCTATTCATTTAAAATGTAAAAATAAGTAAAAGAAGATCAATGTGCAGATATTGAAACTACATCAGCGTAAAAAGATGGCAATGACTGACAAAACCACATCTCGTTTGTTATCACCATAATGCTACAAGCGTAACCTCAGATAACCTATTGCAGTAATGTGATATGCGGAAGTTTTTAAGGCAGGTAGCAGACTGTTTATCAAGATAGAAATTCATTGTTCTACATTCAACTGTTAACAAACTGTGAAACAAGCCAGTGGCAGAGCAGTTTCGACCATATAGCAGAAATGCAGGCGTTTTAATTTTACTGGTGATAAGTAGGGGGAAGAAATACAACATGAAACAAAAGTAAATCAAGTGTTACAAATTCCTAAATCCAGTCTTCTCCCTCGAAGCTTCAGTTCATGGTTTTTAGGCGATGACAAAAGCAAAACTATGTACTTTTGGAATGGATGAAATAACACATTCCTTTTCTTACAAACGAAGAGCTGCAATAAAACACACCTTGCTCACATCATTACACTTAGAGTTTTTGCTGCTACAGCTTTACTTGTAGCTTATGGCTAACCTTGGCAAACTTAGGGTAGATGTTCCTGTAAAACAGACATTACTACTGAAACTTTCCATATTTAAGATTATCCTGTAATTTCTTTCTCATGGGCAAAGTGTTCAGCAAAAAGTTACACAGGCTCGCTTTAAATATGCATCAACAAGAAGGCTTGGGCCACTTCCTACAAGATATGTTCTTATTATGGTATTTTAAATTACTTTTAACTACAATTTTAAGTCAATAATATTACTAAATATTATTTAATCTGTTTTTGAACAAGGGTCTAGTAATTTTCATTTTGAAGACGCTTGTTCTACTTAAAGGTACCATGTGGAGTTGTCTTATAAAAAAACATAGTCATGTTTATATTCAGTGTTTTTACCAAAGCACACACTGTGTGTACCCTTGAGACCTAGCAAACACGTTAAATGCATTTTATTCTTCATTAAACATTTGCAAAACCGATTGTTTACATCCATATTTGCTAGCTAGCAGTCTTGTTGTTACGTTTTTTTGTGGCATTATTGCCACTAGCTGTCGATCAGTGTAATAGCGTGAAACTGACGGCAGAAAAGTGTATTGTTTTGACGCACACTCATGTGCCTACATGAGATACACAAATTTGGCCCCCGATCACAAAAGCATTGCTCCATAGCGCTCCTAGTGGTCAAAAACTCCTTAATTTCACTCATATTTAATCTTTCTCTTAAAAATACATACAATTGTTCTTATCCAAGTACATGACTTTGTATGACCAGTATTCACTCACCATGCACAATTTCAGTCTAATATACGGGGGGGTGTGCGGGTCTTCCTGGAACTGATAAGGCCGTATCGTACACACCATCTGCTCAGCCAGTCCCAGTCCTCCACTGATACTGTCAGCATTTCCAACTGTGCGCCAGGCCATGCCAAAGCTTGCTACACACACACACGCTGTTCATGAGCCTGTTTTCAGAAAGGCATCAAAATTCACCAAACTGGTTTCCACAGCAGTTTTACAATCAGTGCACAGTTTGTAACATCTGACAAACCCATTTTCTCAGTTTATAGAGCTCTTAGGTCGTCGTTTAAACAAATATAGTACAATCTTCATGCCTTCACCATCCAAGCAACGCCGATCCAAGCCCATCTGCCAGGTCTCCCCTCTATGTACAGCTCTGAGAACTCGTATTTCCCCGAGTGCTGCTCCCTTAGGTTACTGTAAGTCAGCATGCATGATGTACTCAGTCAGTCCACACAGTCCACATCAGAGAAATCTGCCTGCTAGGGATCAAATTAGAAGAGAGGAGACAGAGCAGCGTGTCATTTACTATTTTTACTAACTATTATTTATTAATTTTGGAAAATTCATTGAGGATGCGGGTTCTTCCGCCGTAGTCAAGAATGCCATTTTCACGATTTATTTCCACACATTCACACATTGGAGCTACCCCAGAACAACCTCTCGCAATTCCTGTTGGCCACTGAAAAGTTCCACTGGATGACTTTCAGATGTGTTTGATGAAAGGGATATTTTATTTTCAAACTCCACAGATTTTCCGTTTGATTCCAGGGATTGGCGCCAAGACTTTTAAGTCAATCCTGCTTCTTTAACCACAAGAACAGCCTGGACTGTTTCCACGAGGGTAGTGAAAACTAGATAGTTAGCTAGTGCTATAGATTTTACAGCCGTGCATTATGTATGCTCTCAGCACAGCCTGCCCACACACCACAGTCGCTGGTAAAATGCAAAATCAACCTGACTTTTTTGTATCCTTTCAAAGAGCTCCATTATTAGAATGAAAAAAAACTCCAAATGACAGTTGTTTGGCTGTCTGTTTGAAAGCTTGAGTAGAGGTACTTAACAGCTGCTGATAAAATGAATTTGACTGCTATTACCTCACAGTGGGCTCATATATTTTACTGATAAATGATTAAAGTGTTGGGTGAGTGGAGGCTGGTATTTTAGTGAGAATGTATGTGGTGCTCAGCTTTAATCTTGCCATTTCCTCCTCTACCTCAGTGGATGAAGGAGATGTGGCGCTCAGACTCCTGCTATTCCAACTACGGCGTCGATGGATCCACCTGCTCCTTCTTCATCTACCTCAGCGAGGTGAGCCCTGTGTCTGTGTTAAATGCATATTTGAAGTTGATGCAGGTGTCCATATCTATAGAAATGTATTTGAACCCAAGAAAAAGTCTAAAATGTCAACAAATGGCGGCATTTGCGCACATAAGAGGATCATTTTCACTAAGCTGGGAAAATGTTGACAGTAAAACTTGTGGGTTTGACCATTAACTTATGTTAAATGTAAATTATAGGGACTTTTTTCTGTTGACAGAATAGTTTTGAATACTGCAGGGGGGAGGGAAGGTAAAAGAAGATGCAGTCTATTTCTATTCAAATTAAGAGCAAAATGTAACAGAAATTTCCATAAAATCCAGTCAGCCACCTTTCAACATCTAAAGAAAAAGAAGCACAATGAGATGAGGGCCAGTCAAACCTCAAACACTGGAAAACGAAATGAAAATGTTTTTTATTTTTTTTGCTCAAATTTTCATTCAGGTATTTAAACTGTTATATGGAAACTCACTTACTGTAAAGCAGTTACATCCAGATGTGCAAGCCACAGGCATTCAATTTGTGCAGTGCAGGTCATCACGGTAAGAAACATCAAATCGAAAACCACTTGGGCTTCATGGGTCCAGACCACAGTTGGGATTCTCGCACCATGCTGTGCCATGACCAACTCCCAACCACACCTAGTTTTCAGTAGCATCCCACAGCAAACAAACATTCTTCTGAAGTGCTACAATTTCATCAAAACATTATAGATTTTAAATGCAATTCATAGGGAAGCTGGCGTAAAAACATATCTGCTAAACTCAAAGGATGAGGTTCTAGATTTATGTTTTTTTATTTATAATATTATTATTATTATTTCATTATTATTCTGTCTCTCAATACTTCCCTCCCCTGACTGTGGCTCTCATTCCAAAGCCATTCTCCTACTGAAATAGTAAATATTTAAAAAGATCAAGAAAATGTAGTTTGATTTTGACGGGAAAAAAAGGCTCAGTAATTAGCTGAAACAGCTGGCCATATCAGTCGCACTGTATTGGGAACATTTACATTTAACATTTGAATAATTTAGCTCCTAATAACTTACAGAGAGCACGGGAATAGAGCAAGCTGGGAACATACCAGCGCAAAGAACCCAGCAGAATAAATGGTTCAGAGCCAGTGCGCCGTGACAACATTCCTGTAACCTGAGAGTGATCACATAAGAATGAAGCGCTAAAAATATGAGCAAAGGAGAGAGGTAGAGAGGATTTCATTTTTAATGAGAGCAAATTAGAGTGTGTCGAAGAGGGATGGTGTGGGAGAAAGAGGAGATGATTCAGTTGGATGGGAGGGAGGGGGCGTGTGAGGTGCTTCTTGAAGAGATGAGTTTTCAGCCTCCAAGGGAAGACGTGGAATGACTTTGCCACCCTGCCTTAGTCTATGCACATCCCTAGCAAACGGGAGAGACTGCCAGACCAGCATGGAGGAATCGTACATTATTGACGAGCACTAACGTATAGAAGCTTGTGTTCCTTTTAAGGGATGCTTTGAGAGTTTCAATTTTGCATGATTTGCCAGATCAGTCAGCACGGGCAGAAAATTCATTTCTGGTGATGAACTGAATCGTGTTGTTAATTCTAATGAAAGTCTGATATAAGAATTGAACAAGTTTGAGGAAAAGGTTTTGATATTTTTCCTTTCAGCGTCTCTGTAATAGCTTTCATTCAGCCCTGAAACTAAACTAAAATATGATGTGATAATGATTTTCTATTACACGTTTTCCTGTTTTACACTCTTTACACAGCCACATTCTCAGATCGAGAAACAGCTCTGCTTCCCATGAGACGCAACTGTGATTTATTATTTCAAAGATCCTTCACAGATCATAGCCATGATTACTGAATTATGCTTGTTTTTGATTCCGTGGTGCATTTCTCCTTCTGCCTCTCTTCTGCTGGAAAAATGTCCATCTTAATGAGTTGTTTCATCAAGCGCCGATTTTTCTTCTGTTGGAGAGCTCTTCCTTATCTTTTTGTTGTTAGAAAACTTGGCCAAAGGGAGATTTTATTTTTATTTCTTTAAAGAAAGCTTTCTGTCATGGCGTCAGCCCTGGAAAAGGTCAGTAGTCTGTTATGAATATTGTATATGAGCTGAAAGCGTTGCTGTGTTTGGAAATAAAAGTGATATGGACAACAGCAAAACCCATTAGGAGGAGAGAAACCTTTTCTTTCTTGCTCTCTGTTCGTGTCCTTCCAGTGCTTATGAAACAGGGATTATTTACAGGAAACAAGCATCTTCTATAAACAAGAGTAAAGATTCAAAACGGATGCATCTGCTCTCTGTTTGTCTCGATGCTGCCAATCGAACAGCCCTCAGGCTCCACTCCTGGTCATGTGATCTCATGGCTGCTATGGCAATAAGCATGCATTTCCATTTAGAAACTGCTGCGATCGAGTCTCTCCATCCATCGCAGCTTGTCTGTTAAGAACACACACCCACACAGACGTTCAGCCTCAACACACACCCTTTTCCCATGTATAATTCATACTTGTCGACCGCCATGTTAACCTTGCAAAGGGGCCAACCAGAGAGGGCAACATATCATCAGATGTCAGCTGTAGAAGGTCAGGGCTCAACTAGCATTGTGTGTGTTGCGATCTGAGAAGGAGAATAAACACACACATACCTTGTCTCTTGTTGCTGAGATAGACAAAACTCGCCCATCACTTCTCCATAAACCTCTCCAACTCCACTCGTGTGGGATATAAGAGGAAGGAAATGCTGAGACAGAGAAGTAGAAGTTAAGGGACGAGTGAGGGCACTTAATTTAAATCGGATTTAAAATGCTGCCAGTGTTCATAGTGACCGCAAAGTCAAAGTGGTATCTGTCTGACATCTAACAAATGATCCGTCTCCTCTGTGTATGGGTGTGACCTTTCGGCTCGAACGAGCATTTCTAACTGCCTTTTGTTTGCTTTGGGGGGGGGAGATAATATTTACTTTCTAAGGAATTGTGGCCTGCTTTTTAGCTGCTAAACGGTCAAACAAATTTGCACCTGGGAGAAGTAGTAGGTGTAAAATATGCAGCACTGTTTCATCAGACACAAACACAGAGGAAGTGAGACTATAGCCAGGTCACTACAATGAGTGAGAGAGAGAGAAACAGTGAAAGTGACACACTAAAGAATATTGCAGCAAATTAAAAGATGAATTATGAGTTACTTTACACTAGCTCTGTTCAGCACAGCAACAGGAAGATGAAGAGGAGCAATATGACAGAATCCTTTCTTCTTTGAATTTGTCCTGAATTTTAGTGGATCGCAGCAGGTCCAAGTAAAATACGAATGAAACAGTCAGCATTGCTTATAATACTCATACTATAGCTTCTACTTAGAGCAGTAACATAGCATTGATTTGTCATAACCCATTCAGTCACTGCTCTTTTAGTAGAATATTGGGATTTATAACCAAGTTTCCTCACATATAGCCGCCTTTTTGCAGGATGAATACACTGCGGTTCCAGAAACGCCCCGCTAAATTGAAGATTTAGCCCTAGTATTTGTGCCCCTAGCAGTCATTTGCAGCAGGATTGTTAAGTATCCCCTTAAGGCTCTAACAAGGCAGTTAGAGTCTGACTAAATGTGCTTTAGCAAACCTATGTTTGTGTGTATCTGTATGTCTTTGTGTGAGTATGTCTTAAGTGCACCTTAACAGTTGGTAAAAAATGGTAATGTTTGTCTCCAGTTAACTAAATGTTTGTGGTTTGATAGGTGGAGAACTGGTGTCCTCGCCTGCCCTGGAGGGCAAAGACCCTGAATGAAGAAATAGACAGGAGGGGACAGGTGAGAAACACTGTAAACTGAAAACACAGCGGACCCTTTAACTTCTTCAGCTGCTCTTTCACACTGTTACGCTGTTAGTTGGGGGGTAAAACTTGTACACCTACCTGCAGTTGCTGCTGTCATGAAACTGTATGTCCAAATTAAAACTCAGCAAAACCCTATTGACATAACTTTATTTTAAAGCTATCTTGCACCATTACTAAAAGATGTATTTGGGTATCAGATTACATTTCAAGTGTCATGCTTGCGGTCCAATGTATTCATTTTCAGAGAGGCGTTTGTGTGACAACCTCAGACTTTGTGACAGCGAGTTGTGCCATTAGCATAAATTTTTAAACAGAGTCCCTCTCGAAGTGAAGTCCCACTTCATCATCCTGTGTAATGTGGAGACACCACAGAAGAAAATGACACTCCCTGCCATTTAATGGGTTATTTAATTTTAACTGGGTATAGTTTTTAACATACAGTTGTTTAAAATGTCCCCAAATGGCAGCAAAGTGTGTGTGAGCGGTAATTTCCTCTGCAGCGTGTATGCTCATATTAAATGAACAAGCAGGCTGAGGCTGATCCACAGTGCCAACATGCCTCGATGGCATAAAAGAGCCGAGCGGTTCTCAGAGTCCAAAGCCGGAGTGACGGGACCTTGGGACAAATCTGGAATAATGATCTTCTATCCCTGCCAGTGCGGCAGCTCACTCAAATCCCACTTAGGGAGCTTCTCAGGGCTGACTGGCTTGTGCACAGTCCACAGTATCAGCGCTCCTCGAAAACACCCCTTCCCTCTACTGCGGGTGAATCAATATTAAGCACTCTTCATCCCCTCTCTGGATGCATCAACAGCGCTGAGCCCTCCGTGGTGGCGAGATGCCATTTGACAGGCTTTGGAGATTTTAATTCAGGCCCAGATTTTAATAGGTTCAGTCTGCGGAAGTGATTTCCTGTCGTGATGAGGGATGCTAATGCTCCGCAACAGCCTTGTTTCAGCCACCTTAGCAGCTGGTAATGGCACTGTGGTTTCTGCTTTTCTCACTCTGTCTTTCCGTCAGTGACACTGTCTCATTCACTGCTCTTCTTTCCTCTTCTCGGGCTGTCCGCACATTAAGTATTACTTTGGCTTCTATTCATCAGTCATCAGTTATACATGTCATTTCCTTCTGTTTCTTTAATTTGACTGTCTAAAAAGTGAATATACTTTGTGCTGGAATTTCCTCTCCTCTCCTTTCTTTGCAGCCTGAATGCTTCACTATTTGTTGTTTTCTCACAGCTTTCACTCTAAAGATTTATTCTGAGGTTTCTTTGATATCTGGCTCTCAGGAGAGATCTCAAACATATGTTGTCGGTACACGTTTTTGTGTGCCGTCAATGTATCATTTCCTCCGCAGATGACAGTTTATGATGGTTATTATTGCCTCAACAGAAGCGCTTGAACTCCAGCTTTAGTGATTATAGAGAGATTTCTTGGACAAATGGGACACAAAGGCTGACAAGTGGTACAACATACTTTTCTTTCTGTATCCATTGAATCTATCTGCCAGTCTAAGGTGCTAAAATATATGATTAATTATAGATAAACATTTTATCCATAAGCGTGCTGTGTTTGACTTTGAGCAGTGGCATGAAAACAGCCCTTCAGCCATTTGGATATTGCAGTAGTCAATATTGCAATTCTAAATTAGATGAAATACATTTTTAAAGCTCCCCATGGGATTATGTCATGGCAGCAGCTGAAAGAAGGATGAAAGCACTTGAGACAGACACAGCAAAGCAACTGGATAACAAATTGAACATAATGTTACAGTGTCACAGATTAGATTAGATGTACAACTCCTCACAGTGTTCAGTAGTAGCAGACAACTGTATGGGGTCATACCGACTGTATCAGTGTTGGCTCTGTGTGCGCAGGCGGAGGTCCGGACCAGTTTCGAGGAGCTTTACCGCGTGATGTCCCAACGCGAGGAGTTCCGCTGGATGATGCTGAGGATCAAACGCATGGCTGAGCCGTGGGTCAGCGCCATCCGCTCACTGGCTGCCAAGCAGAACCTGGCTAGACGTCGGAGGAAGAAGGTGGGCGTAACATACAGAACATCGTAGTACAAAGGGATTTTACACTCAGTCGGGCAAAGAGATCTGCTATATTAGCTGCATTTTGGTGGCAAGTGCGACCAAAATCTGCTGCACGTCACAGAGCAATGCACATCTATTATAGAGAGTTATGTTCCCCTTTTTTGTTTTCTGTTTTTAGGCTGTTCATTTTAACAAAGTAACACACATCTGTTTTTGCATTTTATCCAAATAAGCTATTGTCCTTTCTTCCTGAAAGATTAGATCTGCAAATTCCACTAAGCTGGATTTTTTGAAGAAACTACTACTACAACTGCTCACTAGACACAGTGTTTTATAGTACTGAATAAAAAGCTTAAATAAAAGCTGTGAGCCGGATGTACTGTAGGTGTAATTAATATATCAGCTGGTGACAGAATACCATTTAAAATGGGCATGTATTATTTCTTTATCTGTCAACGCACATACAGAAACAGGTGCAAGCAGACATAATGAGTGTAATTCTAAATTTAGTTGACTTATTTGGGAGAATGCAGCTCCTACTCTCCAAAAAATATCACATATGAATATAAATGAAGCTATGAGCTTAGAATTTAATGTTTATCTTCCTAAAAGTGTAACCCTGTCGAAAACTTTCTGAAAACACCTCACCTTTGCTTTCAGCCTGTTGAAATACGTGCACCAGGTGCACACGCACACTCCCATACACACACCTTTTCACACTTACAGACCGTCCCACTTCTGCTCAGGGAAGAGATAGTGGTGGGAAAGGATTGACATGGGTATTCCATTGTATCCCAAGCTGGTAGCAGCTCCCAGCACGGAATAATGGGCTCCACACTTTCCCCTGGCCTAGTGAATAATTCAAATCACATTCCCATGATACACCAGTGCTGATGCAAAGCAGCATCCCCTTTAGCAAAGCAGAGAATACAAGAAACAAGAACCCTCATCTTCCCAGCTACTGTATTTATCTGTTGTATCTCACCTATCCTTCTGTACTTTTCTCAATTTAATCTATTCAGACAATAATTAAACTGAGTCCAGATACTTTCAAAGCCAGGTCTTTATTTCAGCCGCTAATCTCTTTTGGATATTAATCTGCACATATTAATCCTTGAATAGTGTGCTCTGGGACTGGGGCTGGCTGTCAACAATGAAAAATGTGTCGGTCACTTCAAACAAAGCCTAATATGACTTCCTACTCCTGCTGTGGAACACTGTGTTCCTCTCTGCAACTGAGAACCATCGTGTGTGTGTGTGTGTGTGTGTTGTTCCTGTTTTAGTTTAGTTGCATCCATTTTTCTCAGCATGTACACTGTGCACCTGACAGCATACAGGGAAAGAGTCGAACTGCTTTCATAGTCCCCTACTAGGATAAACATGCTTTTTTTACACCCCCATATAAATCTTTTCAATACAAAACCAATGGGGTGTATGAATTGTTTGTCCACCATTTTTGGCCTTGTCCTCCCTTACATTATACATTCACTGTCACTGAAAAACATCTTTAATTATAACGCTAGCCTTTTTTCAGCTAGCTTCCGTTGCGCTAGCCTTGACCAGACAATGCATTTCCCCCGTTGGAAGCCTTATCAAGTGTGCAACTTTCTTATAAAGTGTTGTTCCCACAATAATCTACAGATGCATTTACTTTAAATGGTGGTATTTATAAAAAAAACAAGGCTAAAAAATCTGCCTGAAGTAAATTCTATGCTGTGAGTGTCACATATTTTATTCCCTACTTTGTCTCCCTTCCATCAGATCTTGGTGCACTTGGGCCTGCTGACTAAGGAGTCGGGCTTCAAAATAGCAGAAAACGCCTTCAGCGGTGGCCCTTTGGGCGAGTTGGTCCAATGGAGTGATCTCATAACCACGCTGTACCTGCTGGGCCATGATGTTCGCATCTCCGCCTCCCTGGCCGAGCTCAAAGAGTCAGTACCAAACGCACTGTGATGTGCCTTAAGTGCACTTTGTACTGTATGTTAAGAAAATGTACCTGTCATACTACCACGTGTTCTCGGTTGGACTGGGACGGCAGGAGATAATCATGCATAATTTGAAAAGACCAACTTTATTTAGTGTTTGCGCTAATCAGAGTTGACAAAGGTCATAATATATAAGCATAGATAATAGGGGTGGGGGAAAAAACAGCATAGTATCGTGATATTTGCCATGGCAATACTGTATCGATACACGGATGCCAAGCATCGATATTTTGCAGATGTGAGTTTTAACTTTTTGGTACTAGAATAATAAGATCTATTGCTTTTTTAGTCCACTAGAAAACTTAACAGGGCCATATAGAGGACTGAAAAAGTGATATGAACAAACAGAGAAATGTATCTTTTCAGATAAACAGATGTTGACAAAGTTTGACTTTAGGGACCTAATTGGAAGTTGGAAAAAGGTAATAAATTGCAATATATCTCGATATATTTAAAATCGAATAACAACATAAATATCGCGATAATATCGTATCGTGGGGCCTCTGGTGATTCCCACCCCTAATAGATAAACAAACAATGTGATAAAAGTGAAGGTACTACTGCATATTTGAAAAAAGTTAAGCCTTTTGTGTCTCCAGAGGGAGCTGCACCAAGTCTAATAATTTGCCTCAAGTGATGTCACTCTGGGGTTGTTGAGTTAGAATAAGTTGAATTTACCACCCTTCTATAATCGAGGCTACATTAGCCGCTACTAGCATATCACATCTGAACCTATTACCAAACTGTCGCCAGTCAGAGCTGCATTGTGGGAAGAATAATGCATTCAGTAAAAAGGACTTAAAATCAAAGCACTACATTTTGTTTTTATTTAGGTAAACCAACCACCTCTCAGTATGGGATTAAAGTTATTTGACTCGGGGTAAACAAATGATGCTCTCATGTTATGTGTTTTAATATTTATTGGTGGTTTTTGGCACACTGACTCACCTTGCATAGTGGGTGCATACTGATTGACATGGATACAGTACACTGTGAACTGCTGTGCCTCTGCGGTCTGGGCTTTTAGACTAAAACTAATCTGTCATTCTAGCCTCCATGGACCGTCCTCACTATGTCACAGATCTCTTTTATTTATTTTTTTCTTTTACTCTGCTTTGCACAAATATGCAGTAAGGCATCATCATGCTTTGATTTAACCACTGGCCTGTTAGATGAAAATCTGAAACATGTTTAGTGAAAGAAAATTCAAATAACAAACAGCAGCAGACAAACATTTTGATTCCTTCATCTGGATAGATTTGGTGTTTTAAAGTTGATTTTAATTCCAAACTTTTCTCCCCAGGATCATGCGCAAGGTCATGGGGAATAAGTCCAGTTGCCCGACCCAGGGTGACAAGGTGGTTGAGCTCATCTACATTGACATTGTCGGCCTCACACAGTTTAAGAAAACGCTGGGACCTTCCTGGGTCCACTACCAGTAAGTACATGTAGATTAGATTTGTTCTCAAACAGCTTCTGACACAAACACACAGTTTTCTCACAGTTCATTTTAAGAAATATCTATATTTGCGTTTGATTTAAAGTTGATATGTTGCTTGCTTAAGTTGCCGTCACCAAATGTGATCAAACCGCACCCACATAGTCCTGATGAACCAGATCAGCTGCATTTTTGATTGTTAAACTCTAATAAATAATATCAGAGATGGGTTTTTTTTTTTTACAAAGCCAAAACAAGTACGGAGACCTTTAATTATCTAATGTGAGAAGCAATTTTACTTGTACTTGATGTTGTATGGTAAATTCTGATTTGATTGGGGACAAAATCACTGTAGACCCTGCCAAATCAACACACTATAAAATTTGCATAACATAATTTAATGTTTATCTTTAACTTTATTTATCCCCCCCCCCAACTTTCATACTGGCTGACTTCCCAGTATAACCATAGTTTCCTACAAGGGACTTTTGCGCAGCTCTGCTTGAGCAATTGACAGTTAATTATCTTGCACTGTAACTTCTTGTTTAAGTGTGACCTTACTCTTACAGATTCTCCGAATCATTTTGTCAGCCACTCAGTGAATTCAGTAATTTGTACAGTTCTCTAACCTTGTGCTGACACTGCAAACTGTGATTTAACGGCTTCTCTCAAATGTGCAAAGAGCATTGGGTTGAGGCTTGTCTGGCACTTAGTGGGACAATGAGTCTATTTTCTGCTCATACATTACCACCATTTCCCAAAAGGCCGCAGTAGCTTCTGTTGTTCGCGATGTTTTCACCCGCCGAGTCTGTTCTCTCTCTGATTGCTCCGCTGAGGACTGTTGATGAGGCCCTCCTGGTTTGTTTTGAAAAGAGCTCTCATCAGCTCTGACTGACAGGAAAAGAGAATGAACAATAAGACTGGTGGCACTAATGGCCTCGCCGGTTCCTCCTGCTAGTCACCAGGTTTTGTTTGTCTTTGACCTAACACCTTAACCTGCATCCACTCCCTTTGAGCCCTGAGGAAATTGATTCAGCCTCAGTGTAATATTAGGTCCAGATGCTTTTTCTACATTTTTTTCCATACCATTATTGAACACTTACTGAAGATCACTGTGCGCATTCTAGGAGCTTTGTGAAAGAGGACGTAGACTGCAGGTTGCCGCCATTTTCCTGTAAGCTGCATGCCAGATTTGTTTGCATACAGGACCTCATATTCTTGCAAACACTGTGGGATGAAAAGTTAGTCGTCAGCTGCGTGTGGTCCACAAGTTTGATTTCATCACTTTGCCTCTTCCTCCTCTGACTAATCTGTAGCTTCTGTTTCCATTTGTTACTTCCTCACTTTTTTTTGCCTGAGAACTTTGTTTTGACACGACACTCTCTGCATGTATAGCTTTTGTGTGCATGTGGGTGTGTGATTCATGCCACAGGCTTTTTTTCATCCACAGTGTCACTTGTTCAGGTATTTGTGGCACTGTCAAGACAACAGCTTGCTTTGGCAATTGTGGGATTTGCACGTAACATGTAAAAGCCAATATTTTTAGACCGTTTTGGCAGACCATTGTTATAATTTAGTTCACTAAGCCCTGCTTCCTTTAGTTAATGTTGCTATGCCTTGTTGCAAGCTTTTCCATGTCACATATGCAGTTAATAATGACAGCAGTGACAGATTTCCCACTCATTCGTTGTGGTCATTATTAAAAGAATGGATCTAGCCCTAGCTAGCTAGATAACATTCACTTTGAGTTGGTTGACTTCTTTCAGACTGGCAAAGTTCTTTCTCAAAAACATTCCCAAATCCAATACAGAGCAGGACAAAGCGACTAACCTTACCTTCAACTCTGATATAGCAGTAAGTAGCGTCTGAGACCAATGTCACTTAGTGTGTGTGTGTGTGTGTGTGTGTGTGTGTGTGTGGTGTGTGTGTGTGTGTGTGTCAATCATGAAAGGGACTATTTGTAATGTAACCTTTAACACCACATAATAAACACTGAATTATTACTGTAGCTAACTAGTCAGCCAGTTTGTGTGTTGATGTGCTGTTTGCCACTTGTGTTGCTGCAGACGAGTAAACCATTGCTGTTCAGGGGAATTTTCACAGACAGTTGATCAAATGACTCAAGCGCATTTAAAGGCCAGAGGTTGTTTGTGAGTTTATCAAAGGTTTTATAGGTGTTCATTTATTGCCTGTTGAAAACCATTCAGGTTAAAGTTTAAGTGGAACACATTGTTAATAAAACGGAATTTTTATGGTTCATGACGAGGCAATGTTAAAGTATATCTGTCCCAGGTCCATGGTGTCGTGTCTTATTTACCATTTTTTTAAAAACCAAACACTGATGTTGGCCAGTAATTCAGCTTAATGCTTTTGTAAGACAGATCATTAACTCATATGTCTGTTAATCATCCAGCTGGTGTGTGTGTGGGGGGGGGTTCTGGTTGCATGCAGACATGTTACAGACCCTCTGGTCGATTCACAGGAAACAGAAATTCCCATATGATACAACTGTTTTCGAATGACCCATATGGAACCATTTTAATTATTGCTGCTTTCACATGGGAGATGATCATGGCAGGAGAGAAACATATAATTTACCATGCTTATACATTATCCATTTGGGATTACTTCAGGTGAACGACATTATAGTGAAATGACACTTTTACTTTGAAAACAACATCCCCACTCAGCCCAGCTTGTGATATCGCCGCAAATGTGGCTAAGTGCATACTTGTTGAGCTGAACAGCCTCAACTCCCGCCCAATTTTGATGCCCCCTGTCAACTCGCTGGACTCAGAATATGTGCTGAAAGCCCCACTGCAACCATATTTACCTCATGTTATGACTAAACCAGCACTTCCCCATCTGTTGAGGGTATATCTACCGGGGACAGATGAGGGTTGTTTTTCTCCGGAGCGAGTGGAGATGGCATGTGGGCATGTTGTTGTTGTTGTTGCTCTGCTTTCAGTCTGAACTTTCCTCATGGTGAATGTGTTTCCCAGCTCTCTGCTCTCCCAAGGCCTTTCACAGTTCACACAGGCAGCTGCACAGCATCTGCCTGGGCGGAAAGACGATCGCCGAGAGAGAGGGAGAATTTTTAGGAGCAGATGTCTCTGTGTTAGGGATGTGCATCACAATTTTTGATTTTCTATACACGATTTATTTTATCTCACTGTGTGGCTACTTTAAAGAAACAGATTAATGTACTTCCATCATCTTATAAGTTAGACAGCTTGCATGAGGGGTGTAAATGCAGCAATTAAAAAAAAAAAATGTAAACCTTGTAAGATGTGTATTTTGTGCAATTTGGCGCCCCTACTGTTTCAGAGTGCAGCGTAAAAAAGGACAGATGTAAAATTATGATTACATAACTTAATTATAATTTAAAAACTAGCAAGTCAACAACTTTGCTGACACAGCCAAACCTCAAGCAAGTGCGACATCACAAGACATAGCAAAATTACTAACTAGTCCAAAAGAAAGAAAGCCAGCTAGCCCGCTGTCTTGCAGCCTTTTTTTTGTACCAAGCTTTCGCGTCTGCCATTAGTTGGAGGCTGCTGATCCCAGTTATGTTGCCCGCTCGCCCGGCTCTGGCTCGACACCGGTGCTGCTCTCCACCAGTAGCGGCATAATGTTGCTTGAAACTAGCCAATAAAGCTAGACAGTAACAAATGCAAGACCTCTTACAGTACCGTCATCAACTCAAGATTTATAACTAGCTGCTAAACCTCTCGTCTGTGTCACCTCTCGCTGATTTTGCCAACTTTGCTAACACAGCCAAACAACAAACAAGCGCAACAACACAAGACGTAGAAAGCCAGCTAATAAGTTATCAATTACTAGTCCAACAGAAAGAAGGCCAGATCGGCATCTGTCACGGCAAACGGAAAAGGCCAGTCTGATATCTACTCTTGTCCTGTCTCTTGCTCGGTCAAGCTCTCTACTTCTCTTCCTCGCGTCCTCCGACAACGTCTTCTTTGGTCTCTTCGCAGCCTCTGCCATTTTATCGATGGCTAGCTTCTGCCAAATAACTTACATTGTATATTATATACATTTTGTTTCTTGTTATAGCTTGCTGAAGGGTTTTATTGATGTTTTGTACAGTAGTGCCGTAAAGCATTACGCTGTTCTCGTGATAGAAATCCTGCCCGGGGGTTTCAGTCTTACAAAGTGCCACAGAAAACTCCCCGGCCTGGAGCGATAATGACAAAGACTCGATTCACCCTGTTACAAGTCAGTGTGTCATCAAAAACATTTTGAAGCTGTTATTTTAAGATAAAAACACCACTCACAGTAAGAGTGCTTGAAGGTACTCTTACTGTGTGTGTGTGTGTGTGTGTGTGTGTGTGTGTGAGTGTGTGAGAGTGAGAGAGAGTGTATATAGTGTATATACATGTCTGGCTTCCTTTCACTATATGGTAAATGCTGAGTTTTCTACCTTGACCCACAGTGGGAGTCACTTAATTTTACTTTTTTGGGGGGTTTAAGATGGCCAATAGAGGAGGCTCATCATTTTAGGATTTTACTACAGAGTTAGAACTAAGTAGACAAAGTGTGGGAGGGAAAGATAGATTTTATAATTTGTGAAAAAGTCAGCCGATTGATATTGGCTTTGCTCTCTTTCATTGGCCCCTTTAACCTTCAAATCGAAATATGCAGACAGCGGGGAACAGGGTAGACCAGACATAATCAAACCAGTATTTAGAAAAGAGAAGTGAGGGAGTTAGTGAATCCAGAGCATGGAGTTTAAGCTCATGAGGGAGTGGTTCTCTGCATATATACCATTCCCTCTCCTGGTTGTAGTCTAATTAATCCTGTGCTGTGACCTTTGAGTCAGCCACGATGTTCATTCACAGTCTCACACCTCCACAGGCCCGGATTTCACTATTTCTGTCAGAGAATGGAAGATATATATATATATATATATAGTGAGGAAAATAAGTATTTGAACACCCTGCTATTTTGCAAGTTCTCCCACTTAGAAATCATGGAGGGGTCTGAAATTGTCATCTAGGTGCATGTCCACTGTGAGAGACATAATCTAAAAACAAAAATCCAGAAATCACAATGTATGATTTTTTTAACTATTTATTTGTATGATACAGCTGCAAATAAGTATTTGAACACGTGTCTATCAGCTAGAATTCTGACTCTCAAAGACCTGTTAGTCTGCCTTCAAAATGTCCACCTCCACTCCATTTATTATCCTAAATTAGATGCACCTGTTTGAGGTCGTTAGCTGCGTAAAGACACCTGTCCATCCCATACAATCAGTAAGAATCCAACTACTAACATGGCCAAGACCAAAGAGCTGTCCAAAGACACTAGAGACAAAATTGTACACCTTTTTGAGATTTTGGGGAACAACCTCCTTCCCTCAGTTAGCGCATTGAAGATGGGTCGAGGCTGGATCTTCCAACATGACAATGACCCGAAGCACACAGCCAGGATAACCAAGGAGTGGCTCTGTAAGAAGCATATCAAGGTTCTGGCGTGGCCTAGCCAGTCTCCAGACCTAAACCCAATAGAGAATCTTTGGAGGGAGCTCAAACTCCGTGTTTCTCAGCGACAGCCCAGAAACCTGACTGATCTAGAGAAGATCTGTGTGGAGGAGTGGGCCAAAATCCCTCCTGCAGTGTGTGCAAACCTGGTGAAAAACTACAGGAAACGTTTGACCTCTGTAATTGCAAACAAAGGCTACTGTACCAAATATTAACATTGATTTTCTCAGGTGTTCAAATACTTATTTGCAGCTGTATCATACAAATAAATAGTTAAAAAATCATACATTGTGATTTCTGGATTTTTGTTTTTAGATTATGTCTCTCTCAGTGGACATGCACCTAGATGACAATTTCAGACCCCTCCATGATTTCTAAGTGGGAGAACTTGCAAAATAGCAGGGTGTTCAAATACTTATTTTCCTCACTGTATATATATATATAGCTGCTATATAGTACTATCCAACAAGGAACAGGGTAGTTCATTTTCTGGGTTTCAGGCTTACTAGCGTGGCTTAGATGGGCGTAAAATTTAAGTAATCTAAGGCTTATTTCTTAGACTGTTATGAACATTACTGGGAGAACACTGTGGAAAAAGTACTGTGTAATAGCTCAATTCAGCTACACTCTCTTCAACTATAATTGTGTGCATGGAGGGTGAACAGTTTTTCTGGTAGCACGTTATATAACAACACAGAGTGTAATTTAGAGATGATTTAAAATGATGTGCCACTGATTTCACAAGATTTAAAGAAAGTGAAACTGAAATAAACAGTATGGTGTTAATGGTAAGCAATGTATCATACATGTTTGTTCCTCTGGCGTGGAGCAGCCATTAACGTGTCTCTGTGTGACGTCATAGGTGCATGTTGCGGGTGCTGGATTCGTTCGGGACAGAACCAGAATTCAACCACGCCCACTACGCCCAGTCCAAGGGTCACAAGACGCCCTGGGGGAAGTGGAACCTCAACCCGCAGCAGTTCAACACCATGTTCCGTAAGTCGGCACGACGCCAAAACACTCTTACCAAAAGAGCCCCTGTAAACCTTCCCTCTGGTACTTTAAAAACAGAACAAGCCATTTGGCTCAGTTATGGCCTATGTGCAGGATTTAAAAAACTGCTTACTGCACAGTTTATGTAATGCAGACCTGCACAGAAAACTTTGCTGGCTGATTTGTCTGACTCAACAAGTTATCAATCCCAAAAGATCCTTGATCTGTCCAAAAAACTCAATTTTAAGTATGTTCTTAACAGTCAAGAAAAAAACATGACTCACAGATTTCATCACCTCAGCAAGTTCTCCACTCTATTGTTTAAATAAGCTCAAGTCATGATCATTAGGCCGACAACCTCGTGTCTTTCCTATGGCTTCTCTTCCAGTTAGATTTTCATCAACGAATGAGATGTATTGGTTGCAAAAGAGGCATAAAAGGCGGGCTGAAAATGCAGGACTTTGCTTGCTAATGGAATGTCGTCAAGCAGATTAAAAGGAAAATAAGAGGTCAGACACTGAGCTCTCCATTTTACTGATTATGAATGTAGGACGTAGGGGTTTTATTGCTCTGTGTGTGCGCATCACTCCTGCTGTGAAATCACTCTATAACTGGAGTCAACCATATTTGCTGAGGTGGATGAGTGGTGGCAGTGCTGCAGAGAAGAAAGGGGTGCCAGCCCCCCTGGGGTATTGACCTTTTCCCCGTGGCTAAGAGAAAGTGAAATGTTACCCCTGCAGTCCCCGTTTGCAAGGTGAGGCCCGGAGCTATCCAGAATACCACTGCACCTGAATAAGCCTTTTGTCTGCTGAATAGGGTATGTCTTTCTCATAAGACACTGGGGCCTTTGCACAAAATCCAGTTAAGAGTCGCTAGGTTAGATGATATCGCTGGTGAAACAAGTGCACAGTGGTTTGGCCGAGTGTTAAAACCACAGAATGGCATCACTTCGAGGCACGAGAGACGCTGAAACACAAACTGTTTTTTTCCCCGTCTGCACTGTGCTGAACAACATCTGAACTTCAGGCTGAAGAGTCGTATGTGTACTATGCAACTGAAACAGCATATTACATTAACACCTCTAAGTCTGATGAAGTAGTAATCTCATTAGGGCTGAAACTACCGATTATTTTCATTGTCAATTATTCTGTTGATGATTTTCTCGATTAATCGATTAGTTATTTGGTATAATGGTGCGTTCCATTTGACATGGGAAGTCAGAATTACCGAGTTCAAAGTCGGAAATTACAAAGGGAACGCCCCCTTAAGTCGGACTTCCAACTCAGAAAGTCGGGGACTTGCACTAACCCAAGATGGCTGCTCCGAGTATCAACAGGTAGTGAAAGCTGTATGTTTTGTACTGTTCATTAGCACTTCTGTGTACTTGTGTCTCCTGGAAATCTTCGTGCACAAAGTGCTGTCCAACTGCTGTCTGTGGACATGTTGCTACTGTGTTTAGTATGCGTAAATAACACAATGCGTTCTTTATCAGCTGCCGTTGCTAGCAATGGCTAACCTGGCTAGCTGTAATCAATGGCTGGCCAAGCGAGGTTTTTCGACTTCTAACTGGAACGGCGTCACCTCGGGTGTGACGCCATTTTCATCTCCGACCTCCAACTTCTGAGGTAAATGGAATGCAGCATAAAATGTAGGATGCACATTAAAGTAGAAGTTACCAAAAACATCTGGACAGTACTCTCAAACGAACATCTCCAGAAGAAGATTAGTGAACAAACTTCACAAAAAGTTCCTAACTGAAAGAGATTCTAAACCGAAAGGCATATTTGGTTGACATCTTAATGTTCACAATTGACCTCCTGAACATAATGAAATTCAAACACTGCTACTGAACCTGCCCTTTTTGCGCCTCAGTGAAACCTGGCTTGATGTTTATCGCCTTGCTTGCGCTTTCGATGATGGTGGTTTTATCCCCATGCTTATGACCATGCATTTTATGATTAGACATAAGACAAAAAACAGATATCTAGAGTTTAAATTTTTGGGGATTTTAACATGACAAATACAGGACAGACAGGCCAAATAATAACAAATAATGATATGGCTGTAAATGAAGGTCTGTTTCCACCAAAGAGTTTTTTTGCCATCTGAAAACAGCCTGCTGCTCGTCTGAAAACGCCCAGCAGGGAGCGCTTGCAGCGTTTTTTCCGATTGCTTTGGTTGCGTTGATACATTTGTTGCAAGTAGTTCTAACTAACTTTACTGGATGTAAAAATGTCAACACAGAGTAGAGTCCTTGCTCTGTATGAAGAGACTCATGTTTCCTCAGGTCATGTTAGGGCCAATTGCTTAGTTAATGGAAGCCAAAGGTGACAGCCAGGGACTCCAAACCAGAAAGTCAGGCTCTGTCTCTCCTTTCCACATGCTTGGTGAACTGACTGACGCAGTTGTCTTGATAACGATGCACTGTTATATAAATTTGTTAGGTAACCATCGGTCGAGATTATCTTTATTTTGTTTCATTACAGACAGACGGACTGGCTCTATCTAGAAAGTGTTGCGTGTGGCTTGAATGACCCACAACTGCACCACACGACTTTAGGTTTACTTAGGTAAGCATGGTGTCCAGTGTACGAACTATACCCTGGCTTTCGGGGGAGCTCGCTGTAGTAGTAATTCTCCCCACTGGCTAGATGAAGTCTGACACTCCTGAATTTACGCATGGAAGATTATGATGATAGAGAAATATATAGAAATTAATGGTGGTAAAGCATGCTGTCAATATTTTAGTGACCCCACAAAATATCACAAATCATGCTTTTAGGGGGGCTGATGTCTTATTTAGGGGAGTTAAGCTCCCCCTGGCTCCCCCGTAATTCGCACCCTGATATCAGGTATTATATTGAATCAGTATTCAATATAATCCGCACACATGTATAGATGGATAGAAATAACCTTATTTCGACACTTAGTGAATCTCTGTAGGTCTAGGAAGGATAAATATCCCCAGACAGGAAGTATCCTTCAGATTTCGTGTTGGCATCCATCCTGTATCTCCTTGGCCGAGTCTCATTAAACCATGCTGCGTTGTCTTTATCAGTATTGTTGAGTTTTATATATTTTAAAGGCCCGTCTAGTGACGTGTATTGCAAGTTAGCTTAGGCTATAAATGCTGTGGTGTGTGGCATTGGTTTATGTTACATCCTTGTCCTTATACAAATAGACATTGAATAAAGCTTGTATTTCTGAGCAGGCGATTCTGTTTGCTTGGATTTACACTGGGTGGAGTTTACCACAATCTAGTGTAGAGTCTGGATCTGCAGAAATAACTCTGGTCCTGCAAGCATGGTTAAAAGACCTAAGTAATTTAATACTATTTGCAAATACAGTGTAGTGCGAGTTAGAAAGTAAACACAATAGAGACTTCATCTTGACTTGCTCAAACCTTATATTTGGATTCCCTGGTCCTTAAATTGTATTTATCTCACATTATTGAATGAAGTTGGAACAATAGACAAATCAGGTGCTCGTAGGTAATTTATCCTAGACTTGGATTGGTCCATTTGTTAAAATTAGACAGTGCTCCATTAATCATTGGTTGAGGGAATTCAGAGTATGTGGCCTCTGGCCAATAAGACAAGACAAGGCCAAATTGACCTCATTAATCTATTTCAGAGTCAGGAAAGCAGGAATTGTTTTCTGGTGTACAATTTGTGTTTGAATGGGCTGCGCGTCCGAGTTAAGTTTGCTCTGTTTCCTAGCGCAAGTCATTTATAATCAGGAAATTTAGTAAAATTTAGTAAACCTTTCCTGTAGGTCAGAATGACATGTAAGGATTCAAGTCTTGTCAAGTCAAGTTGTTTACTTAATCACTTCATTGGCTTAAAAACAAGTTGGTTACAAATTACTTTCTGGTACGGGCAATAAACCTGACAGATATATCTAGACTTGTTATGGATGACCTTCCTTCTGCACTCCTGTCACTGGGATACTTTGTCTGACATCTTTGCCAGGCGCATGAACCCTTCAGCTTTGTTCACCAAGTGTCTCTTAAACCACTGGCATGAACAGCATTTCACACAGGAGGTTTAAGAAATCAGGTTACTGCAGAAAGCTGACCATAACCTTGTTATTTGTAAATGCACTGAAGGGAGTTTAAGAAAGGGTGGCTTCATCGTCCAGCCTCTGTGTCATCATTGAAAACATACAGTAGTGGTTGCGACCATATGTCTGCTCATGTATGTGTTTCCTGTTTGTATCCATGCTGAATGCTTAATCCCTTACAGATATGATGAGTAACAGGTCAGAGGTCGAACATAGCCCCAGATAGTTTTTATCTTTGTAGTGTTGCCAACTACGTAATTGACCCTGAGGTCTGCCGGGCTGATAGTGCCTGTAAAGCTCTGATTTATAATGTCGTTGGCACACCCACTCACTGAAGTTTATCTTTTCTTTTACATCTATATGGGATCAATAGACTGTTGCTCTGTGTTCTGTTACCGTCTCGCTCGCACGCTTTACAAACTGTCATCATTGTTCTTGCAATTGATATCAGAAAAGATTCATTTGTTTAAAATGAGATCACCATTTGACACCACCTATCAAAATTTAGTGAAATGTAGACTAATAACTATATATCTGTATATCCGATTGAATCTACAGCATTTTTTTTTTATTTTATGAAACACACACAGTGCCAGACAGAACATCCGACCTGTGTCTGTTCAGTGATCCTAGCGGGGGGGCACCTCTCACTGCGTTCCTACCCTGTTTAATTTGAAACCTTTTCACATGCTTGCTTTGATTAATTGCAGTGGCATAATGGAAGTGTTTCAGAAAGCTCCAACACCATGTCCAGAAGTGCTGTAGAGACGCATAATAAGACCACTTTATTCTGGTCCATCTGTGTGTTCTTTATGTATTCACTAAGCGTGGGCAGCGACCTATGCTAAAATGTGGTTGTTACATTATGGAAAGCCTAACATAGAGACCGTTGCATACTTTCCAAAAATACAGTTTCCATGCAGGTTTCTCTTATGCTAATAATGATTAAATTAATAAGCAAATTAATCACATTGGTGCTACGCATGGTATCTGTCATGTACAGTGGTGGGTATTAGTTGGTGCATAGAATTGGGCCAAGTTCATTTCTTCAAGGAAATGTGTCCAACAAAGCTCCGCAGTATTGAAGGACTAGATGGTATAATTTTTGACTTTATTTTATCCCTATTTTTATTCTATTTTACTTATTTTATATTATCTTAAATGTGTATTTTAGTCTTTTAAATTTTTTCTTGCTTTTATCTTGTATTGTTTTTGTATTATTGTCTTTTGGGTATTATTGTCTTTACACTTGTTAAAGCACTTTGTAACTGCTCTACAAATAAAAATTATTATTATTATAATAAACATACAATATCGTTCATTAGATCTTCTGCAGATGGTAACGTTTATATTCTAATTACTAAAGAGACAGAAATAACTTTGAGATTAAATGCACTTAATTTTCACTGTGATGTCGACAGCACTGTAGGACTGCCTGCTAGATCTGATGCTTCAGTTTTACCCCTACTTCAGACATCTTTTAGAGACGTCTGCTCATCAGTTAAAATCTCAAAGGTGCTTGTGTGAAAGCGCTTCGTGTGTAGTTTATTTATTTTCACCCTTCAGGCCCATTCAGATAAGTTTGTAGAACCACAAAGTCTTTGATGTCGAGTTTTCAAAGTGCTGGATATTTTGGTGCTGATGATGCATCTTTGCAGTTTTGAAATCTTTTTATTTTCTGTCTGGCCAGCAGAACAGAAGTTAGTTTCTTGTAAAGTGTTTAGACGCACAACCCTTAGTTTGTGTCTTGGGATTACTTTTGCCTGGTGCATTTACTTTTGCAGGTACCATTGTGTAATGATGCAATATAGACTGCTGCTACCGCTGATTCAGTGAGACCTTACTGCTCCTTTAAAAGGCACAAAGGAAAGCCCATATACAGTCCCTCTCAGCCTATCGAAGAGGATATTCTTCCCTTAAAAGTATTACAGACATTTCTTCAGGCTGTTCCTCCACTCAGCTCGACCAGGTTGTACCAATATTGACTCCCAATCAATCCAAGTGAATCCAGGATTCTTTACAAAGCAAACTAGCCCCCCCCCCCCACCCACCTACACTTGCAAGTTTGTCAAGAGCGACAAAGCATCTGCTTCTCAGGCGACGCTGTCCTCCAGGGCTGTTTGTTAGCTAATAGCGAATGTATGGCAAGTTGAGTGACATTTTGAGTGGCGGCTCTAGTGGGAGAGGAGGCATCTGTTGCCAAGTGCATCACTAGGGCCGAACACTAATTAACAGCCTGTCCTGTTTACACAGTTAGTTTGGTACATGAGTGTTAGGGCTGCCTCCTCCAAGTGTCTAGGACCCTCTCTGCCTCTTTGCAGTCAGAAATGCATCTTAGTTAGTAGTAAGCACAGTTGTTAAAAAATGCTCTGAAAAGTGGTTTGAATTGAATTATTAACTATTACAAACTGGGCAATTATGGCTGAAAATATTATCCTTAAAAGTGTCAATATAATGTTTTCACTCCCATCATTTTGCAATCATCCTACCCTCTCATGTTTCTATTCTATACAAACACACAATTGGCTGACTAAAGGAGATTAGAGGGCCATGCCAGAGCTTTAGTGTTGTGGTTCCATAAAGTTTGGGGACTCGCAAGAGACAGATTGACAAATTATCGAAGCAGCAGAGGCATCTTGACTTTTACCCCATTTTATGGATTAATGTCCAAAGTCCTACATTTCCCATAATGCATCTCAGTAGCATCTTTTCATTAGACTCACACAGCCGTGTAAATACCCATGTCTTTTAAACTCCACACCCCCTTTTTTGTATTTTAGGCTGTTTTAAAATTTAAGTCTAAAGCCGAAGTAGTAAATAGATATTTTTTCACTAAACTTGACAAAGAGCCACAGAAGATATTCTACAAATGTTTTCAAGGCTGAGTAGTAATAACCATTACTAGTAAACTGTCAAGTGTAGTGCCCCTTTAACGTTTTTCCTTTTCTAATTTTAGTGGATTTTTCGGGAGTGACATCCAGGTTATTGAGCTATTTATATTGTTAAATCAGCCGGCATTAGATAGACACTACAGGTAATTCGTTTGTAGCATTTGTCTCCTGCCCACACACGGACACTTCACACAGATCTGGTGATATCTTCATAACAGCTACTCCCACATTCCTGTGCCTCCCACACGCCCATAACACAAAGTGAGCTAACCGTCCTCAATGAGTTAAAGGTTCCTCTGTGCATTGTAATGCTGGGAAGTGCGCAAAAGGATCACGATGTGAACAGAGGAGATAAGGCATTGGAATTACAACCCCGAGACATTTAATCTCATGCATCACATGTGAAGAAGAGCTTTCACCGTGATGGTGAAACACACTTCTTGTCTGGCTCTCTGCCCAGAGAAAATAATGCAAACTATATCACCATACTTCAGTTAACTTCAGCATCCAAAACACATTCCACTGGTGTGATGGGAACTTGAATGAATACTTGTAATATTTATTATTGTTATTGTGACATGAATTATAAGTAAAAGGTGTTCACCTTTTCAAATCATTTGTGGAAAGTAAGACTTGTCATTTTTCTCATGTTTCAGTAATTGCTGGGCTCATTTACACCGCGTTAACACATTTTCTGCTCCCTGTTATTTTATTTTTTATCTATGCCTAAAGATATTTCGCCGGAGGCAATATGTGAACTGCGTGGAGAGATCCAGTGAACAAACTGGCGTTTTGTCGAGTGGGAGAAAAAGTCACATAAAGCCAACACCCTGATTTAAAAACATGTCAACCTTACTTGTGAAACTACAGTAGCACTTTGACAGTGAGTCATTGTTTCTTCTCATATGTTCCACAGTTAAATCATGATACAGCAGCTGTATACCTGCCATCATGTGTTTAAACATCTTGATTCATTCACCCTTTTAAGGTGTGATTAGTCCAGAGGATATTTGCTGTAGATGCATCTGACTTGTTTAAATGCTGGCAGCTACCTGAACGGTTGGTGTTTAGATTCTTGGCTGAAATGTTCTCAATAAATCCTCCTTTTATTTACTACACTGGAGTGAAATCCATCTCCCCTCACTCACTGACCTTAATTTGCCTCTTTAGTAATAGCGTTGTGGCGTTGAGCTCTGACCACAGCAGCTCCCCCGGGACTCTAACACAAACCACAACTGTGCACCTAAACACCTCCCTCGCAGAATGAATGCTTCATTCACTATAAGTGGTGTTTTAGGTCTGCGTTAAAATCTGCTTGTGCTATTCCTGTTTTTAGTTCAAATTAGATTATAAAGCATATTCATTTTTTGACTGAATCTTTTCTGTCCACACTCCAAACCCTTGTCTTCACATTCGTTCTACAAGGCAGATGGCGGTGAGGTAAAGTGCTGCCAACTTCACGGCTCCACACTTGACCTGCTCATCCTGTGGTTCCCATAGTAACTGGTCATCACCGGGCAATAAGCAGCAGAGGGAACAAAAACCCAGAGAGCGTGTTGAGTTGTGTTGCGCAAGTGTTCCCGTCTCTCTCTGGAATTGTGATCCGTGCTAAACACTGAGGTTGAACTGGGCTTATTTATTTTAAGTTAATTGTGTGCACTAAAAAGCAGACACTTGTGGAAGATTTATTTGAGGCATTTTTGTTTTTGCTTCAGTGATGCAAAAATTGAGCCTGAAGTAATTTGTCATTTTGTTCCCATATAATATCACTTTGTCTTTCTTCCTGTTTGTTTGTTTTTGTTTCCTTCCTTCCTTCCTTCATTCTTTCCTTTTTGTTTTTGCTAAAACACATTTAAACCAACTTTAAATGCATCATATTGATGGTGAAATTAGGCCTTTGAGAGCTTGTAACTCAGTCTTCTTAATCCCTTCGCTCCAGGGTAAAGTTTTGGGTAAGGTAAAAAACGATGATGCAGACGCTCACATTTGGCTTTCTGATTGGGTCTTATCAGTCATGCAAAGCAAATGCACAAATCTACTGACAGTGTTTTTAATTTTGGTATTTTTATTAAAATATTTTGTACTGTGCAAATCAGCACTAAAATACACTGGATCGCGATCGATCTTCTAAATCATGTGCATGCTACTTGTCTGAGCAGAAACAGGAGAGAGAGAGAGAGAGAGAGAGAGAGAGAGAGAGAGAGAGATGGCTCATATGCGTTGTACAGCGGCAGAAATCGTAATGAAAAGGACAAAGTTGTGAACATTTGTCATAAATTTAGGACCGTGGGAGGGCAATGAAATCTGGGAGTCTAACCATTCATTTGAGTTTTCTGTATCTATTAAGATATTTTTATTTTTTGGCTGCAGCTCACACCCCAGACAACAGTTTCCTGGGCTTCGTCGTGGAGCAGCACCTCAACGCCAGCGACATCAAGCACATCGATGACATCAAGAGACAGAACCAGTCTCTAGTCTACGGCAAGGTTGACAACTTCTGGAAGGTACTATAATCTTTTACACACACGCACGATACATTTACACATTTTTACTCAATGAAACATGTACATCTCACACTTGGTTTTCTCATTAGACAGTAGCGTATTTTATTATTATACTAGTCTAGATATTGTTGTTGTTTCTAGTCAGCGACAGACGGAAGTAACCTTGCTACATAGGATAAAGACTTCTGAAAGTTCAACACATACAGTAGATGCACAGAAAGAACTGTACACACATGCCTGCAGGCTGATTCACACAGACACCCTTTTCAAACACGTACGTCCTGACATCCAAAAATGTACACACAGATACATTCATATGTATTCCTTCTGAAGATGAAAGTGACAGAATAGGCATGCCAAATAACACCAGCGACACCAAGGATAACCTATTTTCAGACCTCTGAGGGCTCTGCAGTGGAACTCTTTGAACAACCTTGGGTAAAACTTTCACAGGAAACTTAATAACAGTCTGGTTTAGAAGCTCAAATTCAGCTTATCCCCCTCTCCACAGAGCTTTTAATATATTCAAATGCATGCTCACACTGCGGCACGGAGACCAAGGGATTACTGTATCCTAGACAAAAACGACTTAGAGACTTGGAGAGATTTGCACATTGTTTGGCATGCCATGGATGGCTGGATTATTGCCCGCGCCTTGATGAGCTTTCAGGAGACACCATGTATGTTTCAGACTGGGTCGCTCCAGATCCAACCGACTCTTTAGAGGTCTGACAGAGCAACTCAGTGGAATGATAATAGAAGCTACAAGAGATTATTGTCTTCATGTAACATGCCTGTAGTGTAGATGCCTTCTCACATCAGGAGGCTGTGTGACGAAGATGTGTAGAATTGAATAAAAAGCCAAACCCAAGAGACTAATGCCAATACTGTAGCATCAGCCAGTCATGGTTTGTTCAACTTTGCTTTATCCAACTTCATCAACTTGACTTTACATATATGTATGTTCATACAGCTGACTGGCAAGTGAGGATATTTCATGCATTCTTTGCCTAGGATAGGTTATGCAGTTGCATTGTTTTGTCCTAACTATTAGCTAGTTCAACCATTTCTCTGTTATATTTAGCTTACTATTTGAACTCTTTATTAATCATATTACCTGACTATTTCAACCATTTATGCATAACTTTTACTCTAACCTAAGTTTTTAGACTTCTTTGCTAGCTAGCAGTTACAATATGTTATTTCTTTTTAATCAAAAGGTAGTTTCTGTGTTTTTAGCCCATGTAGCCCCTGCCAACTGCCGGAGTACCCATTGTGGTACAAGCACCCTTAATCACTGGCCTAGGTCTAGTTTAGGACTCATCCAATTTCCTCCTCTGCTGTCTCCTTTTTGATAGTTCTTCAGATTAAGTGGAAATGTAAACTGGTATGTAGAGTTTTTTTTTTTCCACTCACCACTGAGGAGTCTTTTTGGAGCAGATGGGGGTTAAGTGTCTGGATCCAGGACACTTTAACATTATGTTTCAAGGGTTGGATGAGTGTTTATTTGTTCACTCATATTCCTATTTTTCCTGCTGGAAAGGTTCACACAGGTGAACCATATCAGCCTGCCCCTGTTCAGCTCTGCTGCACCCAACCGACATGTTGTACTTTGAAACTTAACTTTAACTAAGCCAACATCGAAAAGGGAAATGTCCTTAAAATGAGTCTTAAAAAATGACACCAGTAGTTTTGTGTAGTTTTTTTGTACTGAGAGAATACTGTGAGCAAAATCCAACCAGTCACCACTGAACGAGCACAAGGAAGTGTTGTTTGGAAAATACAAGTCAAAATGATGAGCAAAATTTGTTGACAAAGCAAAGTCCACGTTTATATCTAAATCTAATCTAAAACTTATTCATTAACAACACTTCTACAGTTTGAATTTCAAAGCACAATTGCAGGGCTTTAAATCCCAAGGTGATATAAGATTTTAATCTAGAGGTAGCTTGCATGCTTGTGGGGTTTGTGCCTTCTAGCACTGAGCCAGAGCCATTCAGTCTAGCTTTAAAAGGGCGGACGGGGGAGACCATCATCTCACAGCAAGGGGCATTAGTTCCCAATCAGACTCCCAAGCGTGTTCATTACCTCGTGCTTTTAATTAAAAGGCCATTTTGGAGCAGACTGATAACGAGCTGACTGGCATACTCCATTTCCCTCCCTCTTCCTTTTAAATTGCGCTGTCTTTCGATCTCTTTCTCTACACTGAAGACATTTCTTTTTAAATGGTATATTTAAATAAAAGCTCTCTCCAACTTAACCTTGAGGAAGGTTGGGGTTAGGGTTAGTTTTTTATCGTGTAGGAACTGAATTTTGTTTCTTTTTCAGCCTTGATAACATTGTCAGAGTTCAGTGTTTTTTGTCACTTATCAAATCCTCCTCGTTTTCCAATTTTTAAAAAAATTTTTTTTGCCACCATTACTGTACCTGCACTCGGTGTCCAGTCTTCTTCCCCTAAATTGTTGTTTATCCAGGGATCAAATGATTTCCCGATTTGGGGAGGGGGGATATTATATTATTATTATTATTATTATATACCTAACCTGTCAATACAAATACGATATACACCGCTACTGCCCCCACCCCCCTACTGGCCCCCGCCACTCTTACAATAAGAGCTGCACAGTCCTGGAAGCGGGTGTGACACGAGACCGTGGACTCCTGTGTCGCGGTTTCAGTCTTGGTTTCAGAACCATTGCATCCCTAATAGATATAGATAAAATATGAAAAATAATGGACAACAGACACCAGAGATACTATATCAGTGAACTGAACAGGAAATGGTCCCACCCTGCCAGCTTCCTGAAAAGAACCGTCTTGGTAACTTCCCCCTAACAGCCCAGTTATAAATAAGTGCTAAGCTTTTAATAGGACAACATTTCAGAACAGTTAATTACTTCACACCTTTTTAACCGGAGACAAAATTCCATGATGAAGGTCTAGTACCAAAACCTTGTAATATATGTAATATTATTTGCAGGTTAGACAGTGTGCAGGAGTTTTCTTTGCAATAGAACAACATTTGCAATTCCACATGTGGGCCTTTTAACTGTCTGCTGTACAGGCTTCATAAAACAAATAAAAATATACATTTTACTAGATTAAACAAGCTGAAAAACATCATGTTCATTGTGGAAACCAGAAGTAGTATTTCCATGTCAGTCTTATCCCATCTTTTTGCCTTACTGAGCTATATAAAAGAAATAGTGTGGAGGAACTTTGGATATTGAAACAAGATGCATTAAAGGGCCTTAGCCGACGTTGTTACAGAAATGTTCTCCAGCCAAATGCTGTCTCCTTCCTGCTGATTAATTTGCAGGGGTTAATGTGGGTTAGGCAAGTAATAGTCTGCACGTAGAATACAGCCTATTGAAAGGGCCTCTCTTTGCCTGATCAGTATGCAAAGGTCCTCAGGTCACACTCATCCCACAGGTGTACAAAGTGAACCGGTGTGTGAAGCAGACTGAGTAATCACCCAGGCACAGACACACTCTCTCATCACACACATTTTTCAGGACTTGTTCCAACTGGAAATGGGAAAACAAGTACAGATGCTTTGTAGCATACATGAGTTTCTCATTCTCTCATCTTTTTAGGGGCTTTGTACAAAAAGGATTCTCCGTTTGGTAAATAGTTGTATGCGCCTACACAGGTAGATTCTACTACAACTAAGCTAGGGATTGAACCTCAAACCTCATAGAGTTTGTGGCTCATAAACCTTCTGTTCATTGGATTTGTTTTTCTGAAATAAAAATCGGAAAACTGATAATTTTGTAAGTAAAATAAACCTTTAGGTTATTTTTTATAATATAAGCATTTTAGCATTGCTAGTCTAAAGCAAACTTCTCCATCACAGCAAAATGCAAATATCCTGAAAAACAGATGGATAAAACCTGGTGTGTGTTTACATCAGTGAAAATTATGAGAAGACAACTCCGAAATGTGTGTATGTGCAAGATGTATGTATGTGTAGTATGTTAGGTCTGGCAGCTAAATTTCGTAGGAGAGGACGTCTGGTGTCCAACATTAGCGTCAGCAGTGCTAGCAACAGTGTGCAGATTTTGGGGTAGCACAGGGGAGAGTTTGATTTGGTTGGAGGTGAACTTCGGGACTAACCCCTGTCACTTTACTCAGCAGTTATCAAACACAACTCTGCCACTTGACTTGGATCTTGAGTAGCTGCAGCAGCTTGAGCTGCGTTCACAGTTCAGGTTAACCTGACTCCTAAACTCAGCAGCAGGATTTAGAGTCGTCTGCACTCGGGTGGGTGGGTGGGTGTGTGTGGTGATAGCGGTGACAGTCAATCCTGTGATTAAAGCTAGGATCATTTTGTAGTGAATCAATTTCTAGTGACATTCCTCATTTTGCTGTGGATGGTCTGTCTAGTCAGGAAGGCCAGAGCTCATCCAAGGAGGATCAGGGTTGCATATGAAATAGACCAGAGAGATCCTGGAGATTAAAGAGCCAGGATGGCAACTCATTTTTTTTTTGCTATTGAAGAGGAAGTGTTGATGGTGAGACCCGAAATAAAATGACCAGACCACCTCTGAGGGAGCCGTTTCCATAGCAACCCAGTTGGAGGAGTAGAAAGGCAGAGCGAAGAGTGACTGCCTCCCTTTTCTCACTCTCTGTCTCTCCTTCCATACATATACAGACTATACAAACCAGCAATTGTGTCACTGTGTGCACATGGTTGGTCCATGTTAAAGGTCCAGTGTGTAATATTTAGGACGATCTATTGACAGAAATGCAACAAAATATTACATAACTATGTTTTCAGTGGTGTATAAAGACCTTACATAATGAACCGTTATGTTTTTATATCTTTTAATGAGCCATTTCTATCCACATACACCGCGGGTCCTCTTACATGGAAGTGTACAGTAGCCCAACACGGACAAATGTCAAGAGCTGACAGAGCGTGTCGGCCACCGTAGCTGCTTCTGCGCGCTTGAAAAGGGAGGGGTGAGAGGTGCATTCATGTGGTGTCGGAATAATCA